GTGTGTGTGTGTGTGTGTGTGTGTGTGTGTGTGTGTGTGTGTGTGTGTGTGTGTGTGTGTGTGTGTGTGTGTGTGTGTGTGTGTGTGTGTGTGTGTGTGTGTGTGTGTGTGTGTGTGTGTGTGTGTAAACTTCCTATAACTTTTGAACGGTTTGATCGATTTTATTGCGGTTGGTGACATTTGAAAGGGCTTGACCAAACTTCGATTTTGAGTACAATTTGGACCGATTCGGACCGATATATTTCGAGAAATCTCAAAAAAACAGTGAAAAAAAATTTTTTTTTTCAAAGTGGTTTTCTTGGAATAACTTTTGAACGGCTTTATTGATCAACTCGAACAACTAATCAGCTCTTAACCTTAAAGAACCACATTTATTGCCGCTAATCCGGTTATATTCGGTTGATTTGTTCGAGAGATATCGTGAAGGAGAGAAAACGAAAAAAAGTGTTTTTTCGGAATTACTCCAAAATTTCTGGTTCGATCAATTCAAACTTAAAAATTCTTTGAGGCTTAAAAAAGTGCGTCGAAAAAAAAAATTGTCAAATTTTCTAAAATAAAATAAATTTTTTTTTTTCAATTAATTAAAAAAAAATAAAAAAAAAACTGACAAACTTTGAAAAAATAACGATTTTGCTCAAAAAAACCAATTATTTTATAGAATTGATCGTATTTACTTTTTTCTGTGTATTTTTTCAAAAAGTTCATTCAAAAAAAAATTTTTTTAAAAAAAACAGTACCCTAAAAAAATTTTTAAAAATTCTCAAAATTTTCAAAATGTTTTTCAAAGGGTAGAAAAGAATAGAAAAGTTTCAGCTAAATCTAAAGGGGTCGGATTAAAAAGTGGTCGATTTGGCATGGAATTCCCCATACATTTTTAATAATAAATTTATGAATTTAATAAAAAATTTTGTTCATTACGAATCGATCATGTATACGATTTTCATTACTTGTAGTTGTTACAAACTCTGTTCTTTAAGTAAGTGTAGTAGGTAAACGACAGTGAATCAGGCTTCCAAGCTTTAGGTCCGGGGTTCGACTCCAGCGCACGCCGGGTTTTTTAGGTAGATTTCTTTAGAAATCTATCTATTGTAGCCGATCTCATATCGTAATTTATAGAAAATTTTGTCATAATATGTTTCATTTAATCGAGTAATGTCGAAAAATGGCATTGGCTCAAAAGTTTATATGTTTAAGTTAGATATTTTTTCTTAATATTTTTTCTAAATTTTATTTAAATTAGACTTAGTGATTCATCAAATTTCGAATAAATAATGTTTTTAGGACGCATTTAATATAAAAAGTATTGATCTAGAAGAAAAAAATATTTTTAATTTGTTTTCAAAAGTTTTTAGGTAGATTTCGTGGAAATATATCAATTGCATTGGCCCTCGTGTCGGAATTCACACGGAATTTTGTCATTTTATCTCTTATTTAGTCGAGTAAGGCTCAAAATTTGCATTATTTCAAAAGCTTATATATATATATATATATATATGTATATATATACTAGCTGTTACCCGCCCGCTTCGCTGGGCACTCAAAATTATATTTAGAATTAAATAGAATTTTATTTTTAGATCTAAACTTGAAATTTAATTGGAGTATTATTTTGACTTGCACAGATTCCAAATTCCATTGGATTGGCCTGTACATTTTATCTATGTAATTATTCTGGCTAATATTCATTGTAACTTTCAATGTGCAATCACTATACTATTCCCGTGGTTATCTTCCAAAAATGCACAATGATTGACACGAAGAAAAACCTATTTAAATCGGTTGACCTTGAAGGCCATCCCTGTAATTTCTTGTTTCTCTTATTATTCTATTAAATTTTATATTTGTAGGAATTGTATTTGAAGAATATGAATTTTTTGACAATTATCACTCCTGCACTCCTATGTTTGGGAACAATTTCGTAAGATCCTATTCGAGATGATTTCTATATTATAAATAAAAGGTTCCAACGAAACTTCGAGTCCATAGAAACTCTTGTTTGAAAATGGGAGATTTTCATTGTTAACGCCCCCGCAATCCCTTTTGGGTTGAGAATTCGAGAAAATCCATTCTCAGCTGAACTTGACATTATCCACGAAGATTCAAACTAAATTTGGAGTCTATCGAAGTTACAGTTCGAAAATTAAAATTTTAGATTTTAACACCTACCCCCGCAATCCCTATCGGAAGTAGAATTTTTTGAAATCCGTTTTGAGATGATTTCCTCATGGCATATAAAAGATTCCTACCAAATTTACAGCTTTTAGAAGCTTTATTATGGAAATTAAGATTTTTTTATTGTTAAATCCACCCCCGCAATCCTTATTGGGGGATGTTCGTCGTCAAATCTGCTTAGACTATTTTTACATCACATATAGAAGATTCTTACTAAATTTGGATTCTATAAGAGCTATTACAAAAGGGGACTTCTCATTGTTAACTCCCCCGCAATCCCTTTTGGAGTTAGAACTCGAGAAAATCTATTCTCAGTTGAACTTGACATTATACACGGAGATTTCTACCAAATTTAGAATCTGTAGAAGTTGCAGTTTGAAAATTAAAATGTCAGATTTTAACACCCACTCCCGCAATCTCTATCGGGAGTAGACTTTATTGAAATTCATTTTGAGATGATCTCTAGACGAGAAATAAAATATTCATACCAAATTTGAAGTTTTTAGAGGCTATATTTTGAAATTAAGATTTCTTATTGTTAACACCCACCCTCGCGATTCTTAAGGGACATCCATTAATTACGTGAGCTATTTTTCGATCAGTTTAGACTCCTCCCTCTCTTAGGTGAGATTTAGTGAGATTTGTCTGGACCCCCCTCCCCTTACGTGAGATTGACGCTAAAAATATTTTAAATTAAAATTATTTTTATTATTCGGGAGAATGATAAACCATTCAAGTATACTATAGTTAATTTATTTAAATTAAATAAAATTCAAAGCAAAAACGACCATTCGGCAGCCGAAATGGAAGTAGATTTCATCATAAATAGAAAAAAATATAACGAGGATTGTGTACAAAACTAGGATTTCTAAATTCTATGCAATCGACAAAAATATGTATCGACAGAAAAATACTAAAACCAGTGCAACAGCAAATTTCATAATTCGCATAGCGTAATAGGACATAATTTTGAGACTACACATATGATATAGTACTCAAATTGAAGCTTATTTAAAGAGATTTCAGATGCATTTTACAGAATTTCAATAAGTTATCCCATTCAAAAGTTATTCGAGTAAGAAAGTGAAGAAATGTGAATTTTTATGATTTTGAAAATTTTTAAATCCTGGCATTTCTAAAAAATTTTACGACTATACATATGATATGGTACTCATATTAAAGCTAATTTCAAGAGCTTTCAGATGCATTTTACAGAATTTCAATAAGTTATCCCAGTCAAAAGTTATTCGAGTAAGAATGTGAAAAAATATGAATTTTTATGATTTTCAGAATTTTGAAATCCTGGTATTTCTAAATTACTTGACCGATTAAGCTCATCTTCGAACTTGACTTTAGTATTTATCTGTAGAATGAGTATGTTGAGTTTAGTAGAGATCCGTTGTAAATTAGCGACGCTATCGTCGTGACAAGCCGCGTTATATCCGATATATATATAAATATACATACATATATAAACTTTTGAACCATATGCATTTTCTGACTCAGCTCGACGAGTATAGTCGAAATATAGCAAAATTTTTTAAAAGTTCTGTCATGAGGACCAATGCAATAGTTAGATTTCTATGAAATCTACTAAAAAACAAAAACAAAACTCTTTTAAAATTTTTACTCAATCCATGGAGACTCATGTACTTTTTTTATACATACATATTATAATTTATATTATAATTATAATGTTAAAGAAATCTACCATTAGCTCTGAGAAGAGCTTTTTAAATCATCAGCGTAAATGATTTTAATAGACATAAAATTTATTTTAGCGGGCAAAATAAACACTCAAAATAATTTTTTTTTAATGTCCTCCTAGATTATATGGGTTAAGGAAAACGCACAAATCTGGTTGTAAGTTGAGGCCAGTTGTTAGCAATATTGGTTCATCGGGTTATGAAATTTCGAAGTTTGTTCATAAAATCTTGTCTCCATATGTTCTGAGTTTTGAATTCAATATGAAAGACTCCTATCAATTCGTTGAGAGAATTAAGTCTGTGTTGGTGGATGATGACTACTTACTCATTTCTTTAGACGTAGTTTCATTATTCACTAATGTAAAGCAAGACCTAATAATTACCATCATTAAAGAACGGTGGAATGTCATAAAAGATTTTATCAATTTGGACCAAGATCTCCTATTAGATCTCGTGAAATTTTGTTTTCACTCTGGGTATTTCCTGTTTCAAAGGAATTATTATATACAGAAAGAAGGATGCGGGATGGGTAGTCCAGCAAGTCCCGTGATTGCCATCACTGCAGTAGATTATGTGATATCAAAAGCCCTGGAGAAGTTAGATTTTCAGATTCCGGTTGTAGCAGCATATGTGGATGATCTTTTTCTCATTACACCAAGGGATAAAGTTGATATGGTTGTAAAGGTGTTCAATTCAATTAATAAAGACATCCAATTCACAATTGAAGTTGAACAAGATGGTAAAATTCCGTATTTGGATGTGTTGGTGGAAAGAACAGGATCTGGGGAACTCAGAACTTCATGGTATCAAAAGCCATATAGTTCGGGGAGAGTTCTGAACTTCAAATCAAATCATCCTCTGAGCCAGAAGCTAGGTGTAGCACAAGGTTTCTTTAATAGAGCCATACGTCTAAGTCATGTGAATATGGTGGCTGTAAGTACTGGTAAAGTGAAACACTTGCTCATGAACAACAACTATCCGTCATCTCTTCTCAGGAAGTGTGAGAAAATTACTAATGATAGAATTAATAGTAATTTGAGGATTGAGGCTGGTTTGAGAGGGTGGTCGTTCTGTAAGTTTCCCTATATTGAAGGTTTGTCACCCAGGATTGGATGCTTGTTCAGGCAGACTAATTGTAAATTAGTCTTTTACAATTTGTGTAAAATCAAAGATCTTTATAGTCATCTAAAAGATCCAGTTGATAAGTGGGATAGATCTTGCTTGGTGTATCGGATCCCTTGCACTTGTGGCAAATCATATATAGGACAAACGAAGCAGAAACTTAAGAAGCGGATTAATCAACACATCAACGATTGCAGACCTGTCAACATTAACAAGAGTAACATGACGGCATTGTCGGATCATCACTTTGAGAGCGGGCATGACTTTCAGTTTGACGCTGCTCATATTTTAGACTATGAATCTCATTTTCTAAAACGTAACATCAGTGAGATGTTTTTCATTAAAGTGTTTGATTGCGTCAACTTTAGGTCTAATACTCAGGGGTGAAGTTCATCATACAGTGACATCATATCAGTGGCTAAAAGATTCATGCAATAATAATTTTTTTCTCTTGGAAAATATTTTTCTTTGAAAGGTGATTTTGTAAAAAATGAAATAGTAAGAATTTTTTATAGGGATTACTTTAAGATAATTTTTATTTATTTATTTGACTGAGATTATTTGTATTAATTAATATTTTAAATCATAATCATTTTAAAATTGAGAGTCGGCATGGTAGATAGGAGAAGCACAACTGTTTTTAACATTGCAGTTGTTTACACTCAGTCTGTTGCTGTTTGTCTTGAATGTACTTATTGTAATTTTATAACTTATTATTGTTGACTAATTTGTTTAAATGGAATGGAAATTGACTAAGTTTTCTTAATATTATGGTTACCACTTGTTCAACTTTATTTATATATTGTAAAACGATGAAATTTTTCGGAGTTTATTTTGAGATACAACAGTGTTAACCTTAAATGTAAGATTTTTTAATATTTATCTTTTTGTTATCCTTGTCATATTGTTATTAACAATGTGTTTTCTTTTGTACAGTTTGCCTGATGAAGTTGTGAAATACAACGAAACGTTGCAACATTTAAAAAATTTGACACTGAGTTATTTTTTATAGTCCAAGTTCCTGATAATTTTCATTATTGAATATTATATTTTTTTTGAAGTTGAGGTGAGATTTTTGATTATCCCCCCCCCTTGGTTTAGATGAGATTTGGTGAGATTCCATTGGACCCCTCTCCCCATTCTGAGCTCACGTAATTAATGGATGTCCCCTTATTAGGGGTGGTTCGTCGTAAAATCCGCTCTTAGATCATTTTTATATCACAAATAAAAAACTCCTACCAAATTTGGCGACTATCGGAGCTGTAGCTTGGAAATTAAAAAATTTTAATAGTTAACCCCCGCAAACCCCTGTGAGGTGAGCTATCGTAAAATTCGTTCGTATATTATTTCTACATCTCTTACAGAAAATTCCTACCCAATTTGGAGTCTAGAGAGCTATAGTATGAAATCGGGAATTTTTCATTGTTAACGCCCCCTCAATCTTTTTTGGGGTAGGATACGGTAAAATTCGTTCATGAATTATATGTTTATCTCACATAGGAGACAGCTACCAAATTTAGAGCATGTAGGACCTATAGCTTAGAAATTTAAAATTTTCATTCTTAACACCCACCCCCGCAATCCATATTCAGAGGAGGTTGTCATAAAATCCGCTCTTAGATGATTTCTACCTCACATATTGCAGATTCTTACTAAATTTGGAATTTATAGGAGCTATAGCTTGGATATTTAAAATTTTCGTTGTCAACACCCACCTCCGCTATCCATATTGGGAGAAGGTTGTCATAAAATCTGCTCTTAAATCATTATCACATCACATACAGAAGATTCTTACTAAATTTGGAGTTTATAAGAGCTACAACTCAGAAATTTTAAATTTTTATTGTCAACACCTACCCCCGCAACCCTCTGTGGGGGTGAGATATCGTAAAGTTCGTTCAAAGGTTATTTCTACATGTCTAACAGAAGATTCCTACCAAAATTATTCAGATGTTTAGTTCTTGGGAATTTGGACAATAAATGAAGATGTTAAATTATAGGAATTGCAACGTTTCGCTGATTTATTTCAGCTTCATCAGGCAAATCTTATGGTTAACATCCTTGTCTCAATTTTACAAAGTCAATAGATGTAATAGAGTAAAACAGCATCTTCACAATCTCAAACCTCTCTTTAAATTACAATATTAACAACTTGTTAGGATTTCTCTCAAATACCATTCCAATTAATAAATAAATTGTGTAAAAATAATCAACAACGTCGTCTAACTGTCAAGTGTGCTTACAACTGACTTGACAGACACACTTGACAGACATACATATATATATATATATATATATTAGGGTGTTTCAAAACAAAGCGATAATTTTTAACTTCCCGCTAAAAATCTCAGATTTTCAAAAATCGGGAAGTTATTGTTTTCACCCCGTTTTGCAAAAATCGAGTTTTCATCAAATCTCGACGTTTCAAGGTCACAGGAAGCTTTCCTGACTACCCCTGCGAGGTTGTCATTATGTCTGTATGTATGTGTGTGTGTGTGTGTGTGTGTGTGTGTGTGTGTGTGTGTGTGTGTGTGTGTGTGTGTGTGTGTGTGTGTGTGTGTGTGTGTGTGAGTGTGTGTGTGTGTGCGTTTTTTTTTCTCCCTTTAGGGGGGGGGGGCGAATCCTTTTTACGGATTCTAGGCATAGCTGTTGGCCTGGATATGTGGCGACTCGACGCAGCGTCATACTAAAACTCGACACTGGCGCCCCTACCCACTAAACCCTAAACCCCTTTCTCTTCTATCCTCTGATCCCCCATGGTACCGCCGTAAGGCATTTCTTCGCGGGGGGAGGAATTAGCTGCCGCTCTTCCTTCTGGTGGCTACGATGTTATTTCTTCCTTCTAGATTCGGTCTTTCGCTCTTTTTCTTTCAATGGATCGCAACTCGGTAAGCACTTTTGTAGCAAAAATGCTTGTGGCGTTCCAGGCAGCTTCTGACGACAACATTGCTTCTACTATTGACTCTGGTTGAGTACTCTTCTTCAGAATCTTCTCTTACTCATCGCGCTGTTGGTTGAAACGTGGACACTCAAAGAAGACATGCTCCGCATCTTCATTGACCCCTGGACAGGACGGGCACTCTGGGGTATCATCGTGCTTAAAGCGGTGGAGATACTTCCGGTAACATCCGTGTCCTGATAACATCTGCGTTAGATAAAAGTTGATCTCACTGTGACTCCGGTTGAACCACACATCAACCCGAGGTATTAGACGGTATGTCCACCGACCCTTATCTGAAGCATTCCACTCTTGTTGCCATCTTGCGATGCTGTGTTGCCGTTCTTCGCTTCTAAGTTCTTCAGGGCTCAGTGTGGTTGACCTTTTCCGTTGATATAGGTTCCGTCTTTCCTCAGCTAGGACTCTGAGAGGCAGAGTACCGGAAATAATACACACTGCTTTCTCTGATATTGTGCGAAAGGCGCTAGCTACTCGTAGGGCACTCAGTCGATATACTGGTCCAGCCTTTCTCCATGATTTTTGCGTCTTTAATGCGTCGGCCCAAATGGATATTCCGTAAGTGAGCACCGATGTGACTACTGATGACAGTAATAACCTCCTGCTCTGCTTTGGGCCTCCGACATTCGGCATCAGTCGTGCGAGACTAGCCCTCACTACTGACGTTTTGGCACAGACATGCTCCACTTGCTGCTTGAAGTTGAGTCGGGCATCGAGCATCACTCCGTAATATCGGATATAAGGTTGTGATGTGATTTCTTGTTCGCCGACTTTCAGCTTGATGGTCTCTAACACTTTTCTGCTGGATATAAGCACTGCCTCAGTTTTGTGTGTAGCCAGATGCAGGTTTACCGTATTCATCCACCGATGGACTCGCTCGAAGGTGATGTCGAACATGTTGTTAATCTCGTCAAGGTGTTTGGCAACGATCACTACGGCTACATCATCTGCATATGCTACGAGTTTGACGTTTCTTGGCAGGGTTAGTCTTAATAAACCGTCATACATAATATTCCACAGGAGCGGGCCTAGGACTGAACCTTGTGGTACACCTCCAGTAATATCATACTCCCTCAAAACGTTTTTCGTGTCATACTTCAGGACCCTATTTTCAAAGTAGCTTGCTACGATCTTAAGAAGGTATTCTTGTACATTTTTCTCTTGGAGGGCCTGCATGATGCATTCCCAATTGGCAGAGTTGAATGCGTTTCTGAGGTCTAGGGTCGCCACCAGGCAATACTTTTTCGTTCCACCCTTCCATCTGGTTCCTGCTATTGCTTCCTTGGCCGTATCGACGACCAGTTTGATTGCGTCCAGGGTTGATCGTCCTTTCCGGAATCCATACGGATTGTCTGCCAGGAGTGGGTCGACTGCTTCAATTCTCTGGTGAATTATGCGTTCAAATATCTTACCCGCTGTATCTAGCATGCAAAGTGGGTGGTAAGATGACGGTTCATCCGGTGGTTTCTTCCCTTTAGGTAACAGTACCAATCGTTGCTGTTTCCACTTACGAGGAAAAGCCCCTCCTTAAGGCCTGCATTATAAACGTCTAGGAATAATGTTGAAGCTGCCTTTATGATGGTTTTCAAGGCTATATTAGGGATTCCGTCCAATCCCGGCGCTTTATTATTCCCTACACGGTTACAGGCCTCCAGCAGTTTTTCTTCAGTGACAGGTGGAGTGTCGTCCAGTTCGCCTGGCGCCAACTGGTAATCGAAGTTGCGTTGCTGTGGGAACAGTGCAGTGACTATTTTCTGGAGAAGTTGAGGACACGTAGGTGATGGCATTTGTTGTTTTTTTAGGTGGGCCATAACCACCTTATAAGGCCTACCCCACACGTCTTTATCCACCTCGTTGATGAGCTCTTTCCAGCATTGTTCCTTACTATCCTTGATGGCTTTGTTCAATGATCGACGGGCTTTTTTGTATTCTGCGAACAGCTCCGCAGAGTTAGGTCGTCGATAGCCACGCTGGGATATTCTTCTTTTCTTAAGACACTCTTTCCGAAGAACACTGATGTGGTCGTTCCACCAGTGTACTGCCGGGCGTTGGCTTATGCTGTGTTTCCGGACCATACTGGCGTCACAGGCCTGGACAACTCTTTTTATCAGGTCCTTGGCCATTTCTTCTGCGGATCCAGTAATAATCGGTTCACTATTGAGGGCTATTACCAATGTGCTTGTGTCAAAAGACTTCACTTTCCATCCAATGATATTGAGTGACTTGATTGGTCTTCTTGTATTCCGGTCATGTGATATTTCCCAGAGAATTGCCTAGTGGTCGCCGGCTGTGTAGATATCCATCACCTTCCAGTCGTATTTCCCACTGATGAGGCTGCTGCTGACGAAAGTGAGATCTACGATAGAGCTTGCTTCTCCTTTAGTATAGGTTGGCGTATCACCACTGTTGAGCTGGACAACATCTAGTGTAGAAAAACCTTCTAGAAGTGCTTTTCCTCGCGCATTTGTCTGCTTGCTGCCCCAGTCTACTGCCCAGGAGTTGAAGTCACCGGAAATCGCGACTGGATAATGCTGCTTGGCGTCCTCGGACAGTTTGTCCAAAAATTCAGTGAATTCAACAATGGATAGGCTAGGTGGTGCATAACAGCTGTAGAAACGGATGCCGTTAACTGTTGCTGCTACAAAGCCGGCATTATCATTGTTAACTACACTCTGGAAGGGATGCTTACCACAAGACCAGATGACAGCCTTGGCGGTGCTGCAGATTCCCAAGGTTGGGTATTCAGGTATCTGTATGGCTCTGCTATCATTACTAAGTCTAACTGTAGTTCTTTTGCTGTTTGCATAAGCAGATCATGTGCAGCTTCGCAATGGTTTAGGTTCAGCTGCAATATCTTCATGTCTGTTTGTTTGTTATCTTCTGGAGTGCCTCTTTAAATACTGGGCACCTAGATGCGCCGGCATGATGGGGCGAGTTCTCCGCAGTTTGATCTGCGCATAATACACATTTCGCTGGGTTTTCGCATTCAGCAATCTTGTG